CCACAGTCCTTCTGCTGTCCTCGAATCCTGTTCGCTGTTGCACTTTTCAGATCCCCGTGATTCCGTGTACTCCCCGACTGCCTTTTGATTTACGTTCTTCTTTTCAGAAACACGGTATCAGAAGAGAAAGGAAAGAAATCACGGTATCCAACGAGAAACCATTCTGAAGCTACTACTGGTAAGCTGCTACGTCTTGGATTTCAGCTATTCTGCGCAGTTGAGAATGCATACCCTCTTGAAGTCGTACACCGACATCCCCTTTTTTTCTGCACACCCCCTGTTTTTTTTTGGAACTAGCCGACAGGTTGATAATTTGAGTAGTTCTCGTAGGTCCCTTATCGTTCTTACTGTGGCCTAGCATTTTATGGGTAAAACATCATGAGTATCCACTGCGCATTGAACACTTCTGCTTAAACTGTTTCCGGTTCTACCGTACTGTTAGAACTCAGGGTTACATAGTCACAATTATCGACCGATTAGCTGTATTGCGACCAGCTCCTGTCAACTCTTGCCTGAGGTCTGCTGACAGAGAAAGCATTTCCTAGTACATCTCTGCGCTTCGTAAAATCAGCGTTGACAGAGACTTGTCTAGTTCCGCAACGGCATGGAGTCCTGTCAATCGTCGAATGTCCCAAATACGTGTATAAGCGAAGCACAGTAGCCCTTTTCTTATTCTAATGTATAACCGCCTACGGGATGGTTATCTTGCTTCCTCCTTACCATTAGAACGGAATACAAAACGAGTTTCGCTTCCGCTCTAATCGATATGAATAATTCACTGTTCAGATACTAACTCTAAGGCAGATACGTCAGGAAAGGCCGATGAGCTACGCAATGGTTCGTTTGCTAGAGCAAAGGTGGGCGTCCACTTTCCCACATTATTCGACAGAAGTCTTAGCTGAATATAAAGGCCAGTTTGACAGTAGGCTCTAGTGTGTAAGTTACAAATCAGACAGGACCACTTTCTCCATTGAGTTTATAATGTTCAGAATGGCATCAATTGCCTCACAAGGTAAAGGTGAGAATCCCTCAAAGGTTCCACCGAAGGGATCTCGATAAATGTGTGTTAGTGGATAGGGAGGTGCTTGAGCTTATTCAGCGTCGGGTCGAAAAAAGATTCACTTAGCACTCTTGGAATTTCGTCAGGAATCAGAACGGGATCTTGAAGGAACATATCAACATCATTTTCAGGCTGGAGGAGCATCTGAGTGCACCCAGGACAACTCAGAAATGGTAAGTTAAGCTCAAAAGGTTGCTCAGCCGATATGTCAGAGACTTGATCAGTGATCATATCCTCATTTCTTGGAGGGGTCAAGGAACCCAGAACCTTCAATGTGGCTTCAATTTGCCTCTGGAATATTGGTCAAAACCCTGACATCCATCGTTTGGAACTTGCTCAAGTGAGTAGAGAATAGTTCGTTTGCAACTCGATGTCTTACTTACAGTGGTATGAAACCTCAACAGGGACAACCCAGAAATCTTGGTGATGTACGACTTTAGGTGCCTGTATAACATGATATTCTATCGTCAGTCTTAGCATGTCTGCTCGAAGCGGGCTGTCGTGAATACAACCTATACATAGCAAAAACATTGACGTTCGTTACGTCTTCTGTGTTTTTTTCGACTCCTTCGTATTCGTAAACCACTTGTATGTGGGAATCTCTACCTTAGTTACAGATTGCTCTCGAGAGTACTTTAGTCTTGAGTTCTTCCATTCATTCTAACGAGACAACTCCCTGTTATAAATTATTTGAATCGTAGCTTTACCCCGAAATATGATGATATGCTTGCCAGGCTCTTTGCGCTCGTTTACTTATTGGTGGTCCTAATATGGTCAGCACAAACGATCTGGTCATTCGTCGAGGTCAGTTAAGCTGACTTGTATTCCAGCGTATGGCAAGTGGGTGGCAAGAGAGTTCCTTGGAAAAATCTTCATCAATTTTCTGCTCAGAATTTAATTTTCTTCTATCATTTCCCACATAGAAGGAAATCAGTTGCTTCTCAAGCGGGCATAACCATTGACGCATTGCAGAAGCAGATCGATACGTATAGTGTTCTTTTCGTCAATCCTTCAATTTCGTCATTTGTTCAGTGTCGCAAGTTATGAGCGCGGCCAAATATCAGGCAGCCAAAAAAGTTCGTGCGGTTTTGAAGGTAGCGAAATAATAACATAAAAACGGGTTAAACCTAGATTGAAACTATCATAACCTGTAAACCTAGATTGATTCCGGAAATCAATTACCCTCAGCAAGTAGTACACTTTCCCATTTAGATACAAGAGCATATGTTCCATTTTTGTAAAATTTTGGGAATTGAAGAAATGTTTTAGTTCGTTGTCCAAAGCCACTTCATTTTCAGATCGCCGATTCCTCATGTGGTTGTCCAGAGCCAAAAACAATGATAGGGAGGCAAGGCTGGCGAGTACGGAGGTGAGGTAGCACTCTAGTCGGCTAATGTTGTCTGAGTGATTTTGCAGTGTGTGTCGCAGTGTCTGGTGGAAAATCACTTTTTAGTTGTTATTGAAAGTATCTACAATTAACAAGTTACTGAATTACACTGCTTGACATATGTCTTAACATGTATGCAAAGTTACCGTACAACTAGATCCAGTTTGCTGAATATACTTCATAAAAGTAGGCAGTTTAAAACCGCACGAACTTTGTGCAAGACAAACTCGCTGTTCCCTTGACAGGTTTGTGTCAATGTTTCAGATTGTCATTTGATCATCGTTAAGACTATTCTAGATTTCTGTTTTACATTTGTAAGTTCACTCAATTGAACCATCCATGTCTTTTCACAATCAGGCATTGTTCACAGTTTGCGACCCTGACAAATCGAAGTTTGGCGAAAAGCAGTAAATACGTATCGATCGGAGAGTTGCCAGCCACTCTGGCGAAACGCTGGTGCAGTTCTGCGTTTTGGCGAAAAGGGGTAGATGCGTAACGATTTCGCTGACTCCGCCCAAGAGAAAAAAACAGCGGACAGCGCTAGCGTTTCGCATTACGCACATACGCATCAAAATTTTTTTCGGGAAAGCATTTCTTTCGCCGATTCCGCTGTTCGCAGACTGTGAACAATGCCTCATCCTTTTATTTTGAAATACAGTTGTGCATATAAAAGTATGTGTCAACCTCATATTTTGCACATGCTTATGTAGTACATAAACACGTATGAAGATAATAACTTTTGACTCTGTGTGTTGTGTTATTGTTTGGTTGTTCTCCAACTTTACATTCATATGCATTTATATTTACATTATTTCATTTAATTTTATTATTTTGCATTCTCACATAATCTGGAGGTATGAAGAAAACTTTTTGTCTCTATGTAGTTTGTGAGGTTTAGGAACTATGAAGTATTTGTGAAAGTTGCTGTTATGTTGTTTTCTCGTCGGCACACGGAGTTTGTTTAGAATATTGCATGACACACTTCAGCGCGGCTTAATTAGAACAGATAAATTGAGCTGACGGTACTGACCTTCAGAAGAACTCGCCCTCTTATTCATCCGTTCTACTCGCTGTGCTTCGAAAATTCTTATCGCTTTCAATAGAAAAAAAGGAATAAGTGAACGAGATTTTTTGTGAATCAGCACAGTTTCTATTTGGAAGGGTGGAAATTTTTCGCTGAGATTTGACACGCCCGCCGAGTTACAAAAGTGGGACGTCCTCTGCGGTTGCTCACCTTGCCCTCTAGCTGAACACATTGAACGCCGCGGCGTTTTTGCGGCGACTCCCGTTTTTACTTCCCTGCGTCTCCGCGCGCGTGAATTGCGTGCAATACACAAACGCGAAACGGGAGTCTTCGTGCCGCATGCCCCTTTAGCTAGAGGGCAAGGTG